TCGATGCGTTGGCAGTCCGTCGAACAGTAGGCCGTCGTGCCGCACCCTTGGCACGCCTTGGCCTTGTCGGCGCCGCAGATCGTGCAGGTCTTGAGAGTGTCGAGTTTTTTGCCCTTCGCTCGGGCCATGCGATTCTCATACTCCAACTTCTTCTCCCACCACGACATGATGCTTGGCGCGCGGTTCCCGGGCGCCGCAGTAGACTTCTCGGCTCGGACTTCGGCGAGGAACGTCCTGATGATCGACCCTGGACCCGGTCGACCGCGCGTCCTCGACAGATTTTAGGGGATCTGCGCCGCCGGTCGACCGCGGCGGCGAGTTGCCGTGGCCCCCCGCTGAAGCCGAAGGCTCTCGCGCGGTCGCAAAATTTACATCGAACAACCCCCCGCAATCCTACCGCTCACGTCGTCTGCACGCCCGCGACGCGCGGCGGGAGCGACGCGGAGCGCCGCGGCGGCGTCGAGGGCGGCGGCGGCGGCTTCTTGTGCGTCCGGAGCAGGTTCTGCACGAGCTCGGCGACGGGCTCGAGGTCCGCCGGCCCGATGAGGTCGTGGCGGAGCGAGAAGACGACGAAGCGCTTGAAGAACGCGTTCACGGCGACGTGGCTGTGCGTCTCCACGAAGTTCGCGAAGTGCCGGTGGTACATGTGCGCGTAGATGGCGCAGAGGCGGCCGCAGAGCGCCTTCGCCGCGGGCCGGAACGCGGCCGGGTAGGCCGCGTGCTCGAGCGGCGGGAAGACGGCCGCGTCGGACGTCATCTCGACGGCCGCCTCGAAGGTCCGCGCCGCGAAGGCAGGGCAGGAAAAGGGTGATTCAACGTCGCTTCAACGTGAGTGTTCCGCGCGCGCGCGTTTCGGAAACAGCACCCACGCTTCGAGAGCGCTCCGAGAGATGATCGCTCGTCCAAAAATCAGCCGAAACGAGCGGAAAACGACCGAGATAGGAGCCTTTGAAGTTGGGAATTTCGCACCCTTTTCCTGCACAGGCCTACGGCGCCGACGGCTTCGCGGGCGCGTCGGCCCTCGACGACGTCCTCCGCGTGCGCCACAACGCCGCCGAGCACCCCCGGCGGCCCGAGGATCGCGCGGTCGTCGCGACCCTCGAAGGCTTCTTTCGACGGCCCAACGCGCGGCTACAGCTCCTCCTCACGGGCGAGCTCGGCGACGGGACCTGGGGCTCCGTCAGGACCGTCCTGCGCGACCGGCGCGCCGACCTCCGGCCGCCAGCCGAAGCGCCGCCCTTCGTCGACCCACCGTGCAACGCGAGCGACCGGAGGCAGTCTTCCGCATCTCGCGCGCGGCATCTGCGAGCCGCGGCCACACATGAATTAGAAGAACCACCACCAATTCGATAACACGCGACTGAACGCGACCCCACTAGTCGGGCACCGGCGCCAGCCGGGCCGCTTCGAGCGGGATCCTCTTGTTCGCGAGGCGCGCGGCGCACGTCTTGCCCGGCGCGTAGCCCGGGGGCGAGGCCCCGCCGTTGGGCGCCCTGGCGTGGTCGATCCCCGGCTTCTGTCGACACCACTTCAGCGCGCCGAGGGCCAGCGCGAGCTCCCGGGGCGCCTCGCCGACGTCGACGGCCCGCCCGCAGTCCCAGGCGCCGCCCCGCCGGACGCACTCCTGGAGCGGGAGGGGGCCCGCGCCGTCGAGGTCCACGACGAGCACGTCCGCCGCCGCGAGCGCCGCGTCCGCTGCGGCGACGGCCCAGACGTCGCGCACCTTGTCCGCCGCCTTCCCG